AGAGTTCATACTCTGTTTCCCTTTGTTTGCTATTAGCATGATAGTAATTTAGTTGAACCATCAGGGAAAGAAAACATCCTTTGGCTTGAGTAATCAGTGACAAACTAATATTTGCTCAAGTTAGAGGCAGTTGGTCTCATATGGTTGACATGTGGTAGTTAGTTTGAAGTGCTCAATGAAGCAATTCATCTCAAGAGGACCATTCATATCGATTGCCTCACCATTCAGATCACAGTGGGGTGGAAATGATTCACCACATATCTTGTTTGAAAAGAGAAGTGTGTTGTGAAAATGACTGAACTGGATACCAACAGGTCTACACAAATCAGCTTCTGTGAATTACTATAAGGTGTGGGAAGACTTCAAGACTTTTATTTTCAGTGTTTCTCAACCTTGGCAGCTTGAAGACGTGTGGAGTTTAATTCCCACAATTCACCAGCTAGGGGAACTCCACACATTGTCAAGCTGATGAGGTTGAGAAACACAGCCCTAGTTGAATGCAGTTATGGACTAAATTATATTAAGCTACATTTTTTTGAGCTATATATTCAAGAATTATTTGTTTGTTTGTTTATTTATACAAAACACATTAGGCCATTAAATGATTTGCAAGTAACAAATAATTCATGTAATACATTAAGCCAAAGCTAAATAACCCAAATTAATGCTGAATACAACAAATAAAGTTACTGTGGCTTGGGGCCTCATTTTAGCACCAAAGACAATACCTGTTGACAATCAGGGGTTGTTTTATATTTTTGTGGTCACCTACCACTTCAGTGACTCAGATCTGAAGGTGCGGTTTCTAGACCAAAGTGGGAAAAATAATAGAAAAATAATAGAAAAATAATAGAAAAATCTTCACAAAAGATTAACTTACTGTCTTTGAATGGCCTTATTAGCCAAATTTTGTATTTCCTTGATTGTTATACTGTAACTGTCCTTAGTTTTGAGATATACTTTCATATATAATAATTATTTCAATTGCTTTTAAACCTGTCACTGGGAAGATGTTCTTGGCATAGCAAACTAATGTTCACATGGCAGAAGTAGTCAATCACAATAATTTCAGTTTCTTTGACAGGAACATTTTCAGACTGTCCACAGTAATTCATCAAAGATGAGGGGAGATGCAGGAGGAAATACAGTTCTCTGTTAATGTATCAGCCTTCCTCAAACAGTTGCCTTTTACATATTTGGACTTCAGCTATTATAATCTATAGCTTAGCTGTCATGCCCATAATTTTTAGCCAATAAATTGGGTGTATGTTGCTTGTAATCTACCACTTATGCATGGAGGATTTGGAAAAGGTTCAGTGTGTCATTAATTGAGACTCTTTTAGATATTTTAAAGCAATATTGGAATGCTTCCTTAATTCTGAATTTGCATAATATTGTATTCCTATGATGTGATTCTAGTCTATACTTAAGTCATAATTCTATTTGGGGGGGAAAACCTAGATTTTCTTCAATGGAATGTTTCATTTGCAGAATCCTTTGAACATCTCATCATACTTCTTTTTGATGAGCTGCCTTCTATGCAGTGAGGCCCCACAAAGGGTTAACATGTTTCCCAATGCTCCAACTTGCTGCCAACATAACAAATCCTGAGTTTTGTCCTCTAGCAGTTAATGCCATGCTAATTATATACAAAAAAAATCTCCTGTCTACTCTTCCCATTCCTTTTCTGGATAGAGAAAAATGAAAGAAGAGAAAAGAAGGCTATTAATGTTCTTACAAACAGATTATTCAAAATATGTGCTTTGTAAAATGCTATAGAAAATGTAACATTTGAAAAAAAAATTGTACTGAAATTTCACTTGTAACTTATATTTGTTCCAATCAAGTATTTCAGGAAATGAGTCAGACAGTTATAGAAGTTTGAAATACGTATGAATTATTACCCTTCAACCCCCATTTTCAAATGCCAGCAAGTTTTTGTACTATGAATTTAACGCTAGTTTGTAAACTAGATTTATTACAGTTGGGAAGTGGAGATCAAAGACTTACCTAGTGATTTTCTGCTTTTGTCTTTTATGGCCAGGAAAGGCTGAAATAGTTAACACTGAAGGCAAGAACAATTGGATGCATAGCTACATTTCCCCTTAGTAATCAGTCCAGAGTTAGAGACAAGTAGTAGTTTTGAGTTTTCTGCCTTGAGAGATCTTGGAAATTACATGAACTTTATTTTTTTTCCTCAGAAAGAGGGGGGAAACACTCTTTTTCAGCAAGATACCCTTTGAAGAATTTCCACTTGCCTAGTACAAGGAAATCCCCAGGGACTCAGTATTGTTCAATAGTGACTAAAGAGCTTTGGGACTATATGCTTTTGTCTTTCCCAGGCCCCGGGCCTCCTTGCAAAGCACTGCATTTGGACTTCAGTTGCAAGGTTAAGAGTCAGTGCTGGAAGACGTTCATACTCATATCAATTGCACAGGATTTTACCATGAGGCTTCCCAGAGATCTAAGATAGGCTCAGAAAATAATAAAGTTTTTATGAAAGGTTAGAGCTTCTTCTCCATCTTAAGCATTATTGGGCCATTGCTGAAAATTCTGCAATTTAGGTTGTGGAAAGGTTGTGGAAAGCTGATTTAGAAAATCAAGGTAATCGTAAACATATTTTGCATATACTATCAAGAAGTTAGAACACTTTATACCATGAAAATATTTATTGGCTGTTCTGGATGGCCATAAATAATTAAAATATGCACATGGTTATGTAGGATGCATAAGTGAAAGACATTACTAAAGTTCATAGGTGCATGATTTTAAAACTATTGCCCCCAAAGGGTGAGATCACAGGTGAGCAAGTGTGTCAGAAGAAAGCTAAGAGAAGTATATTTATAGTAATTATCCTCTATAAACAAGCACAGAAAGTAAAGAAGAGTCTAATTAAATGCTGATGACGTCCTGACACCTTTTCTTTACCCAGATGTTTCGCTTGTATAGAAATTGGAGGTTCCAATGCACAAAAGGCCCTCCTGCAAGATCATTTGGAGAAGTATACACAATATATTAAAAAGCAACTTGGTCATAAAACAATTTCAGAATAGGTATCTACCTCTGGGCTCACAACTTGTAATATGAAAGGCTGTCTTACTATAAGAAAGGTCAAGGTTTCTAAGTAGGCTGGCTAATGATTTCAGTTTGTTAGCTTCGATTATTTGAGGTCTCTTGATGTAGGAAATGGCATTTGATCTTTCAACAGAGGAACTTATGACCTCTGCTAATGCAGTGCTTCCCTTGTGATGCACGTATCCTTTTAGAAGAGCAAGGATTGACATCAGGACATGATGTCATGTGACATTCTGGATCAGTGTCAAGGATAGCTGGATGTTTTCCAGAGAAAATAATTATGTTTGATGATGAACTCTTTCTTAGCAGCTCTTTAAGTGGATATTTGTCAGCTGTTACAGCATAATTTATTTACTTGTGTGCCCTTTATAGAAAGAAAAGAAATGCATCACCATGTGTTAATCAGATGTTTTACTGGGCTTGCTACATCACTTATGGTTTGAAAGCTACTTCTAAAAAATACTTAGCAGCTAATATGCTGATCATGAATTCCTCTGCTTCTCATTGACTAACTGTACGACACATGTATTTCAAAATGATTGTTCAAAAGCCTTTTAATAAAAAACAACAAAAATAAACTGTTACCTATGGAAGTTGTGGGAAGTTACTTCTACATTTAGTAGGAAATAAACTAGATTAACTATGTGTAAACATGGGTTTTACATACAAATTAGAGCAAGTAAGTTGAAAGTGGACCACAATCTTCAACTTGCAATCTGAACCATCATACTACCACCAACTACCCAACCAAATAAGAGACCCCCCCATTTTCTTTGCAGCCCAAGAAACTAGGGAGAGTTTATTCTAACACTCATGCCCCCCCCCACGTTCCTCCTATGGTCTGAGTTCCCTTTTTCTGATCATTCCCATGTTACTTTGCCTGGTCTTCAGTCATTTCCATATACCATTACACAGTACCAGCAATTCATGCTAAGTCATGTTCAGATTCAACTATGAAATTATGAATTCTGAATTTTAGAGCAGCAGCAACAACAGCAGAAAAAAACCTGACCTTGAGATTAAATAGGTATTTGTCAAAAACAGCTTCAGGCTTCATCTGGGATGATGGATAATACAATAACAAAAGTGAATTTTAGCACTAGAAAAGCTAGAGATTTAGCTGTGCTGCCATGGTATAAAGCTATGACCTGCAGCATTGATCCATTTTTAGCCACAGTGTTACCAAAACCCATACTTAGATTTCCTGTCCATGAATAATTTTTTTTAAAAAAATTAAATAGCTGCCTCTTTCTGGTGCCACCTGAAACAAAATATGGAAGAAGAATAAGAAACTTCATGGGAATTGTTTATTTTAATATAAGATCACCTAAATGTAGTATCAAATCCCAGATCACATTGAAAACCAAAAATTAAATAGCCATGATTTTCTGCTTCTACATCAAAGAATGAAAACTGCCAATGATGTCATGAGTTCCATCCACCAAAAATCATAGGAAAAATGAGTACAACCATTCACCTAGGAGATAATTCAAAGTTGTAATCAAAAAATTTGCTCAACTATTTTATAGTATTAATTTATATCATTCACTGTGTCTCCAATTTTTAATTTCAATAGCTTTGCAAGAGGTGCTATGTATAATGCTAAACACAGTTTATTTCAGAAGAGAGCTCTGGCCTCAAAGCATATTTAACAGGAAACATTCTCCCCATTTTACAGATCAGATCTAATGATGCTGGATAATTCAATTATTTCAGGATTTTGGATAACATTACAAAGTATGAGAATAAAATAATCAGAGTCATTTGACTGGAATTAGAGAAGCTCATGATACTGCAGTTTTGATCTTGCTTACTGACCTATAGTACAGTCTTTATGTTATGATACAAGGGCAGCATAGAAATAAAAATAAATCTGATACAGTAAATGTATAATATCTTTCTTTTTGTTTGTTTTGTATTTCTAGGTCTATATAATCAAAGTAACATGGTCAGATGCAACTTGCCAGACAATCTACCGGAGGTATAGCAAATTCTTTGACCTGCAGGTAATGAATAATTTTTGCTTTTTCTTTGGGGAGACTATTATGTGTAGAATTGACATAGAGCTGTTAATAATGATTTGAATCTAATACTATTACAGCTCACTGCAGATTTTGCATTATTACTGAAATTGCTTCCAGAATACTTGAAAATACTGTTTGAGAGAAGTTTCTTTGGTTCTCATGGTGAAAGGGCTTGCATAACTACATTGTTCTACAGTCTTCCTTGTGGGAAACTGTACATCCTCTTCCTTGATTATTGAAAGAATACGTCCCATGAGACCCTAACACTTTCCCTCTTAAATTTAACTTCCTTTTGTTTGTGATTCTGCTGATAGTATGTATTGGTTATCTTCTGTCTCTCCCACCGCCTTCCTTGAGGTCTTCCTTTTGTGACCTGTAAGTATGCATGTTCAGTGTGAAGCCATTTCTTAGTGAAAAGATCCAAAGGATCCAGTATAATCAGAATTCAGCTTTAGAGCAGCTTTGAGTATATTTATCTAAATTTGTACTAATCAACAAGTCATGGGGTGTGTGTGTGTGAGAGCGGATGGTCAATGGGAGCAGTAGCCTGAGCTTCACAGATGAAAGGGGCCTCTCTCAGAATATAATTCCATATTTGTAGAGGTCAGATCATTTAAGGCAGTAATATTAGTTATTTCAATATTTTGGGTTTCTCTCGCATGTTCTCATCTATAGGGTAATTGGACAGAAAATAATGGGGGCTAACAGGGGATGCAGTGAGAAAAAACTGGGTGGGGACACAGATGAAAATTCTGCCCATTGGTTTCAGCACCTGGGTTAAAAACTTACTTTGCTTGTGTATTTCACTGTGTATTCTACAGTGTATCCTCTTGTTCTGTTTTACTAATTTTGTATTTGTTTCTTCTATTCGTGTGTGCAATTATACCTTAAAATGGTTATTGGAAAGGTTTTCTATCAAGAGGCATCTTATCTAGGGATCCCATGCCATGTGCAGCATTGTGGAGTTTGCTTCCTCATAAAGGGAGAGAAGTAGAATGATTGACATGGAAAATTCCTCTGAGCAGATACAAGGTTGTCTTAATATCCACCACAGAAGTTAAATCAAAAGAGCTGATTACTATTAGTGAAATCAGTAGCAATAAGTCTTAATCAAGTCACTGTAGCTATTTATTTCTGTGGAAACAGGAAATAACTAAGATGTGACTCATGGGAAAGAATCAATGGAGCACTGGTAATACAGTAGTTGGTTAGATTACAGATTTGAGGAAACTTTGATCTCTATCAGACAAACATGGCAAAAGGATGTTGCATCCTTGGGATTTAGTAGTTTGCAATTGCTTATGTAATTGGATGGAAGCATCAAAGACTTATCAGCAGGATATTGGTTGCATTCATCATATTGAGCTTGCAAAAAGGAATTAATGTTAACTCAGGCCCACAAAGGCATCTTCTTTCAGAGTCCCTTTAGGAAAGTTCATTTGGAAACAACTGTCCAAAGAGCTGAGCAACCTTAACCATTCTTTTCTACTTTTACATAGAGAGCCCCCCACATTTGGCATTTCTTACAAATGTCTGTCCATTTTTTTAATTTTATGATCCCAACTCATGAGACCTTATTAAGATTTCTATAAAACTTGAGAAAGCAAATTCGCCATCATATTTCCTTCTGCTAACATTCCTAAGCTGAAGTAGCTATGAAGAAGGCTTGGTTCATCTTCATCTGATAACACTTTTTAAAAAATAATTATCCCCTTCATTTTCAAGTACTTTCTTTTTTATTAAACAGCAGTTTTCCCCACCCCCAACCTTGCCTGCAAGTCTCCTAGACTTTCCTGTTAGGTTTGAAAAGTTCCCATCAACTAAAGTTATCAATAGGGTTAGTGTGTTGTACAGGAAATGGTGTCTCCAATTGGGAGAAGGAGTCTTGAAAGGTCCCATTGATAAGCAAAAAGGGAGGGGTGACTTAGCAACAGTGGAAAACATTTGCTGAATAATATGCATCTTTCTCCCATTCCTTCTTGAAAACATATCAAGAATGTTCCCATCCCCAATACTTTTTTATTTTAATCCTTTTGTTATTAAATATTGTAACAGTTACCATTCTGAAAGCTGAACTGAAGGACACCAACCCACAACAAGTTGCAATATTCTTGAATGGTTTAATAAGCAGTATTCATGTTTGGTGTAGGCTCATTTGCATGTGTTTATTGAAGACATTTTATTTGGTTGTTTCAAAGTGGCTTACAACAGCACTGAAAAAAATTATACAAGAATTGCCTAAAATGTGCCTTTCAATATAGTAACTGGTTGCTCTGATCTATGGATTGCACCTAATGGGCAAGGCACCATAGCAATAGCACTTAGACTTATACACCGCTTCACAGTGCTCTACAGCCCTCTCTAAGTGGTTTACAGAGTCAGCATATTGCCCCCAACAATTTGGGTCCTCGTTTTACTGACCTCAGAAGGATGGAAGGCTGAGTCAACCTTGAGCTGGTGAGAATCGAACTGCCAAACTGCAGGCAGCCTGCAGTCTGCAGAAGTAGCCTGCAGTACTGCATTCTAACCACTGCGCAACCATAGCTCATATTATGTCATAATATTATATCATAATATGTCATCTTATTTTGTAAATATTGAGGAATAGCATTAAAGTCAGGAATATTGGAAGAACCACCACCATGGCACAGTGGTTAGAATGCAGTATTGCAGGCTAAATCTGACTGCCAACTGCCAGCATTTCTGCAGTTCAAGTCTCATTGGCTCAAGGTTGACTCAGCCTTCCATCCTTCAGAGGTCATTAAATGAGGACCAGGTTGTTGGGGGCAACATGTTGATTCTGTAAACCGCTTAGAGAGGACTGTAAAGCACTGTGAAGCGGTATACTGTATGAGTCTATGTCCTATTGCTATCTGCCTTTAACTTTCAAAGACTTATTTCACAGGGAGTTCTTTGATTTACTGAACTGGATACCAACAGGTCTACACAAATCAGCTTCTGTGAATTGCTATAAGATGTGGGAAGACTTCAAGACTTTTATTTTCAGTGTTTCTCAACCTTGGCAGCTTGAAGACGTGTGGAGTTTAATTCCCACAATTCACCAGCTAGGGGAACTCCACACATTGTCAAGCTGATGAGGTTGAGAAACACAGCCCTAGTTGAATGCAGTTATGGACTGAATTATATTAAGCTACATTTTCTGGCTATATATTCAAGAATTATTTGTTTGTTTGTTTATTTATACAAAACACATTAGGCCATTAAATGATTTGCAAGTAACAAATAATTCATGTAATACATTAAGCCAAAGCTAAATAACCCAAATTAATGCTGAATACAACAAATAAAGTTACTGTGACTTGGGGCCTCATTTTAGCACCAAAGACAATACCTGTTGACAAACAGGGGTTGTTTTATATTTTTGTGGTCACAAAGAATAGGGAGTTCTTTGATTTTAAGTCATGCTTAATAACACTCCCTAAGGAGCAATCATCACTTACTGTATATCTCTCTTTTTATTAATTGTGCAATGATATGTCATGAAGATAGGACTGATTTGGCTCTATATTATCATACTATGAGGGAAAAAATGGAATGTTTATCTCATTCCTAGTCCATGTTAATTTATTCCCTTCCTATCTGTTCCATCATTTCCTGTCTTAACATTCCTATGATGTAATGCTCTTTCTTTGTTTATTTCCAGTTTGTAAAATACTTCTAGAATATTTCTAATTCACTTGTATTGTATTTTCTGTATCTTTTTGGTTATTTAACTTGAGCACTTGTTTTTATGACTGTTTTGCAGATCAATATTATAAATATATTCAACGTTTTAAAAAATTGTATTATAATAAAACATTGTGCATTGAAAATTAAGTCCAGAAGAGTCCTTCACTCGTGAAAGGAGCCTTTGACTATTACAAGGGCTCTTTCGATAAGTGGATAACTATCTTTGGATCCAATCACTCTATGACATTAATATTCTTAGGTCAAATTTATTCTTGTCTTATGGTCCCATTATCTATAACAGAGGTCCCATTTTTATAGCTCTTAGAGTCTCTTCACTGTAACTGCTGAAAATTAATAATGGAGTTTCCTGTCATTCTGAGATGAAAAATATATAAAAGCTTTATTATAAAGCTGAAAAAAGCATATTGTAGTGTAGTTAAAGCATATTGCGCTATAGTTAAAGAAGATTTCCTCAAAACTGCCTTCCCCATTATGGGGTGATTTGACCCTTCCCACTTTATAGACATCCTTAAAAATGTCAGGCAGGCCTTTCCAAAAGGTTTTCCACTTTTGATTTAGAATCTGATACTTGGTAAATAATGTTGTTTACTAACTTGCCACAATGATGAAAAAGTGATGATCAGAATAAAATACCCACTCTTTTTGAGCCTCTGGCTATATATTAATAAAATAATGGTACCCTCCCTAGCCCCCCATAAGAATGACAGACAGATGCAAGCTGATTGGTTTAAGGTTTGCCTATTGACACTGTGATGTATGTTCCATAATTTTTCCCTTCCTCACTCCTATACTTACATGTTTTCTAGTAACCTTAATTGTGTTAGATTCAAATGTAACTATCCTTAATGAATGAGCCCATTTGAATGCTGGTGTCACTGCATTTTGCTTTTTATTCTGAGTGTTGTGTGAACTCTACCATTCTCCACATATAAAACGCACTGTGCTAGGTCATGGTTTCCATAGCTGTATTTTATACATTACACTTAAATAACCATATATTGTTGAATGAGCAACAGTAATATACATTTACACTACATAAAACACAATCTATAGTTTATATTATATTTTATGAGCCCATCCATGATATTTTGTAAACCATGTCTTATGTCTCAGTATTCTGCGTAAACTCTACCAATTGTGTTATATGAATCAGATGATTGTGGCTTAATACTACAGGGCACTAAGTAGAGATTTTAGAATATGATTAAGTCCAAATTAAGTAGAACATAAAAATAACTCTACTAGATCGGCCTTCCCCAATCCTGCCACAA